TCATGGGAAAGGCGGGGTGCATTTCCGGTACGAGAGATGAGCTACCTTCTGTCTTGCAATAGCTGCTTGGCACATCATGTTCGCGAGTCATATTGTCACCGTTGGGTCGCCAGTGAGAAAACCCCAACAGCCAGGGCATCACTCACCTCCAAGAGGGGCGCGGTTCTGCTGGGCATGGTCAGAGGCCCCGCCAAGGACGCTGCTTCGTGACGGGGCTCGAAGAAGAGTAACGCGCCTGAGAAAAAGTGCGGCAACCTCTCCTGATCCCCGCGTGGTCCTGAGACCACTGGGTCTCCCTCAGGCTCGACATGCTGCATCGCAGACAGCTACTCACAGCTCGTGCGGGCTCTCGGCAGGACAGCACACGGCGCTGACTCTCTCCTGAGCATCACTGGTCTGTAGGCGTCAGGCTACCGGGTGCACTTCCGTGTCACAGCTCCCGGAGCAGACGCACTCTCCAGTGGCCGTCATCACGGCGACTCAGAGAGAGGGAAGGGCAGGGGGGGAGGAACAGGGAAAAAGAGGAAGGAAGGAAGAAAATCAACACTAACAGAAAACGATGGATCTGGCAAAAGGGTAAGAAATAAGGAGTTTTATAACATGTACAGTTGGCTCAAAGAAGAAGCTTAAGCTAACTTTAAATTACACACATTTAAAGATTTTTCCAAAAAAAGTTATGGAAGAAAAATATACAAACCTGTCATATTTTTGGGTCCAAGACTCCTCTATATTTTTAAATCTATTCTGATCAAATTCTATTTCCCACCGCAAGGCATTTATTTCCTATAGAAAGAAAACAGTACTTTCATGGAAAAGCTTTACAAAAATACCATCGCAGGACATGGTGAATGTTGAGATCCATCAATCATCTGAGATTTCACAGAAATAGCTTAAAAAGAAAAATTACTTTCAAAAAGAATATGACATTTATAAACAGATAAAAACATATCTCTTTGGCACTCAAACTTTGCCCACTCTCACTAAATATGGAAAAGTTTCCAATTGTTTAGCTTCAAAACTCGCTGGACTGGATGTAGATGCTTCAGTGCCACCCCCGTGCCATGCAGACATTGCCAAGGGAGTTCAGTCCCGGGAGTCCGTGCCCCACCCAGGGAGGCACCGCAGGCACAGCCAAGTGACCGTCTAGAACGGTGCATAACTGGCTTCATAGTGCGGACAAGAGGGTCGGGCAGGCAGAAGAACAAACAGGAAAAAGTGGGAGTGACCACTGCAGGGGCTCCTGCTACCAAGAAATGAGGAAATTAAAGAAACCGGGTTTCACTCTGCCCGGGTGAGAATCCGTTGTAGCTCCCAAAGGGAAGAGCATGAGACAGGCACGGGCAGCACGTGGTGTGCACACAACTCGTGTCCACCCCTACGGGGGGTTTAAGGAAATTCTGTTTAAAGCTTATTGCATGAACAAGTCCACTTTAAAACTGACAAATACCTTCTCTAACGATCGCTTTTGTTCCACAGTTTTTTGAAGCACTGTCTGGGTGTGACTTGTGGCTTTGTCAAGTATTGCCTAAAGAAAATAAAAATTAATATCAGTTACAAATTAAATGTCTAGTGCACAGCAAAGTTCACATTTCTTATTTACCTTCAAAAATACATATACCAAAAAAAAAAAAAAACCCACCCTGTAACTATATTAAGCACTGCTGCTCCTATTTGCTTGTTTTGTTTAGTTTGGTTGGTTGGATTTTTTTGAGAAAGAGATCTTTCTTGTTGGTTCACTCCCCAAATGGTCCCAACATCCAGAGCTCAGCTAGGTTGAAGCCTGGAGCCTGGAACCCATCCACACGGGTGCAGGTGTCCAAGCACTTGGGTCATCTTCCACTGCTTTTCAGGCTCATTAGCAGGGAGCTGGGTCGGCAGTGGAGTGGTGGGGACCTAAAGCAGTGCTCCGATATGGGATGCTGGCTTTGGGCTTTGCAAGCAGAGGTGTGACACGCTGTGTCGCAAAGCCAGCCCCCTACTCCTCCTGTAGGAATAAAAAAAACCTAAAAAGCTAAAACCACACCACTTATTACTGGAACGTGTACATAATGAAACATAACTTCTTACCATGCTTTGAAGAATTTTCAATGCTTCCTCTTTACCTTCAAGTTGTCTTTGGGATGCCTCAAGTTCAGTTTTTAAAATTTCTACCTCCTAAGGACAGAAATAAAATTAGTCTTCTTTCAGTGAGACAGGCAACCCCATAATGATTGCTCCAGCTGGTCTACATTTACTATTAAGTGCAGCTGGGAATTCCTTTACAATTGGTAAGTGAAGCAGGCAGGCTATAACACAGAGCCTCACCACCAGGTGCCAATTATAACTAAAAGCCCAAACCTTTTTTTAAAAAAGGATATACTCTTTGAGGGGCTGGTGCGGTGGCCTGGTGGGTAAAGCCACCACCTGCAGTACCAGAATGCCAATATGGACACTGGTTCAAGGTTCAGCTGCTCCACTTCCAATCCAGCTCTCTGCTATGGCCTGAGAAAGCAGTGGACTATGGCCGAAGTCCTTGGGCCCCTGCACCCATGTGGGAGACCGGGAAGAAGCTCCTGGCTTCAGATCAGTCCAGCTCCAAGTGTTGCGCTCATTTGGGGAGTGAACTGTGGATGGAAGACCTTTTCCCCTCTGTCTCTCCCTCTCTCTCTCTCTGTAACTCTGCCTCTCAAATAAATAAATCTTTCTTTTTTAATATTTATTTATTTATTTATTTGAAAGGCAGAGTTACAGGAGAGAGAGAGGCAGAGGCAGAGAGAGAAGTCTTCCATCCATTGGTCCACTCCCCAAATGATCACAATGACTGGGGCTGGGCCTGGCTTAAGCCAGGAACCAGGAGCTTCCAGATCTCCACGTAGGTGCAGGGGCCCAAGGACCTGGGCCATTTCCGCTGCTTTCCCAGGCACATTAGCAGGAAGCAGGATCAGAAGTGGAGCAGCTGGGACTTGAACCAGCACTGATATGGGATGCCAGCACTGCAGGTGATGACTTAACCCCCACCGCGCCATGCCCTGGCCCCCAAGCCCAAACCTTTTGCTTTTAGCCTAGGCCAGTTAGCTACTAATATGGAGAAAAACCTTAGTCCACATAAAATAAACACATGGCCACCTATGCAACTACATTAGCTATTGTGTGTGTTGAATGACGGCGCCCCCAAAAGAGATGTTCAAGCCCTAACCCCTAATACTATGAATATGACCTTTGCAGATGTGTGTGTTTAAAAACAAACAACTACAAATGAAACTGAACAGAGTTAAACGGAGCCAAGAACAATCCACAAGCCCGCAGAACCGCAAGCGTCCAGGAGCTCTGCACCCGCAGGCAGCACGTAGTCGGGGATCAGAAGCCAGGTGTCAGCTCAGTGTTTGTCTCACTGGGGCCTAGCCTGACTTGGGCAGCCCGGGATTGGTTCAAATTCTCTTGCTATGACTGGCTGAGGCTCAGCTATTGTTGCCCAAACCAGACTCAATGAGATCTTCAGTTTGTTTAGGTACTTAGTTTGTAGCTTCTTCTATAGGGGCTCCGGGACTGAGGCTGCCTTGGGTCAAATTTAGTTGAACTTAACAGGTGTCATCAAGTTCAGCTGAGGTCACCCTGGTTTCGGGTGGGCGCCCCTCCAATGACTCATGTTCCTATAAAGGAAGGGAAACGGGGACACAGACACTCAGGGGAGAAGGCCATGCGCTGGCCACAGAGGCAGAGCTGGACTTGCAGCCCCCAACCTGGGAATGCCAAGTCCCACAGCAAGTGCCAGAGAGGCACAGGAGGAGTCTGTCCCCCTCCGCCGTCAGGGGAGCACGGCCGCTCGCTGACCCGTGGATTTTGAGAAGAGGCTGCCCCCAGAAAGGCTGACACAACTTTCACACCAAAAGTCCTAAAACTCGGACATGGGCTTCCTGTCACCCCTCACCGGAACTCCTGCTCCCCTCATTCCACAAACCATCTGAGAGCCGCCCAGTCTGCTGACCTCAAGGAGGCTGCCGGAGGCAGGTGACTTCAAAGCTAGGGACGGCAGATTACAGGCCTAGGGGCAGGAGACCCAGTGAGCGACACAAGTAGACTCCTAAAGAAATGAAGGGGCCACACAGGCCTAGTGGGTCATGCCATTGCCTGCGATGCCTGCATCCCGTACAGGCGCGCAGTCCTGGCTACTTCCCATCCAGCTCCTTGCTGATGCGCCCGGGAAAGCAGAGGAAGACGGCCCAAGTGCTTGGGTCCCTGCACCCACACGGGAGCCCTGGGTGAGGCTCCTGGCTTTGGCCTGGCCGAGTGTTGGCGGTTGCAGCCATTTGGGGAGTGAACCAGCAGATGGAAGATCTCTGTCTCTCCTTATCAGTGTAATTCTGCCTTATAACTCAATCAAATGAAGACAATAAGAAGCAGAAGTGGCCAATTAAAAACCATGACTGTGCTTCCCCAGTAACATACAGAAAGCCAGTATTTGCCTTCTGTACGATTTTATTATTTAAACAGCACATTTTATTACATACGAGTTTTTATAGTAGCCAGAGCACTTACCTCTAAAGTTTCAAGAAGACGCTGCCTTAACTCTTGGTTCGACCACTCTGAATTAGTATCTAAAAAGAAAGCACCTTGAATAGTTTCTTTAGTTAAGTATAGGACACATATTTACAAAATATCAAACATACCTTTCCCTTACATTGCAAAAAAGAAAATAATTGTAGGGGTGGGCGTTTGGCACAGAGGTAAAATCAACAGTGGGGACACCTGAATCCCATATCTGGGGAGTGCCAAGGTTGATTCCATTCATGTTAGCGCAGACCCTGAGAGACAGCAGGCGATGGGTCAAGGGGTTGGGTCACTGCCACCCATGTGGGAGACCTGGACTGAGTTCCTATCTCCCAGCTTCTGCCAGACTCAGCCCCAGCCGTTGCGAGTATGTGGGGAGAGAACAAACAGCCAGGAATTGTGTCTCTCCATCTCTCTCAAAGTTGAAAAAGGAGGGAGGGAGTGGAAACTGTGGTGCAGTGGATTGAGCCACTACCTGGGACACCGGCAGCCCACGTGGAAGTGCAGGTTCAAGTCCCAGCCGTTCTGCTTCCTGCTAATGTACCTGGTAAGACAATGGGAAACGGCTCAAGGGCTTGGGCCCCTGCACTCATGTGGGAGACCCAGACGGAGTTCCTGGCTCCTGGCTGGAGCCTGGCCCAGGTTTGGCTGTTTCAGCCATTTGGAGATTGAGCCAGCTGGTGGAAGATCTCTGTCTCTGTCTCTCCAATTCTGTAACTCTGCCTTTTAAATAAATATTTTTTAAAAATTGTGCTAAATAATAATTAAAAATATGTACCTTAAAACATTTCACAAATAAGACACATATTTTTGAATAAAAAGTCTTGACAAAAGACTCTAAAGTAAAACTGATGTTAATGAATTGACTAACTGCCACACTCATACACAACTTAGAAAATTATGAATGTTCGTAAGTGAAATAAGTAGATTTTGGTGTTTGGCTTAAGCTTAATCAATATAGTAATAGAAATACCTAAGAAAAACACCTGAATTCCATTTCCCTCCAAAGAGAATAACTCCTATAACTTCAATAATTCTCTCCTTTAAGAATCAACTGAGACGGGTCGGCGCTGTAGTATAGCAGGCAAAGCCACTGCCTGCCGTGCCAGCATCCCATATGGGCGCCAGTTCGAGTCCCGGCTGCTCCACTTCCAAACCAGCTCTCTGCTATGGCCTGGGAAAGCAATAGAAGATGGCCCAAGTCCTTGGGTCCCTGCACCCATGTGGGAGACCCAGAAGAAACTCCTGGTTCCTGGCTTCGGATTGGCACAGTTCTGACCATTGGGACCATCTGGGGCATGAACCAACAAATGGAAGACCTCTCTCTGCCTCTCCTTCTCTCTGTGTAACTCTGACTTTCCAATAAATCTTTGGAAAAAAAAAAAAAGAATCAACTGAGAAACAGAACTGAGCTTCCTAAGAGCTTCATCTTCATTCCCACCTCACTGGCAGTTTTTAAAAAAATGAAGGCGATCAGTTACAGGCAAGAGTGTAAGTAAGAAGAGCATTTAAAAAGATTATTTAGGGGCTGGTGTTGTGCTGTAACAGGTCAAGCTACCACCTTCAATGCTGGTTGTGTCATAGCTGTTCTACTTCCCATTCAGCTCTCTGCTCATGCCTCAGAAAAGCAGTGGAAGATGACCCAAGTGTTTGGGCCCCTGCACCCATGTAGGAGACCCGGATGAGGCTCCTGGCTCCTGGCTTTGGCCTGGCTCAGCCCCCGCCATTGTGGTCATCTAGAGAGTGAACCAGCAGATTAAAGACCTCTCTCTGTTTCTCTCTCTCTCTCTCTGTAACTCTGCCTTTCAAATAAATAAGTCTTAATAATAATAATAAATAATTTTTAATTTAAAATCACTTATTTATTTTCATTTTATCTGAAAGGCACAGACACACAGATTATCCATCCTCTGGTTCACTCCCCAAATGCTTACAACAGCCAGGACTCGGCCTGGCCAAAGCCAGGAGCTGGAACTCAATCTGGGTCTCTCATGTAGCTGGCAGGGACTAAGTACTCGAGCCATCACCTGCTCCCTGCATCTGAAGCAGAGCAGGGACTCAAACCCAGACATCAAACACCACATCCCAAGCGGTGTCCCACTGCCTTGCCAAACCCCTGCCCCCACTGGAAGGACATTTTGAGGGACGTTAAACGTGTCTTAGAACAATTTTTCTTTGCTATTGTAAACTTCAAACATCAATATGACAGTATCCAAGGTAAAACCTAAATCATGTTTCTACCATGAAAACCCTAGGGTCCCAAAGAGGGAGAGAGGTGACACTGGACTGGCAATGACAGGGTCTGTTCTATTAATCCTTGTGGAAGGCAGAATAATGACCTTGAAGACACCCACATCCGCCTCCCCAGAATACATGGATGGCAAAGGGGACTCTGCAGACGTGACCAAGTTGAGCACTTTCAGACAGGAAGCTAGCGAGGATTATCCAGATGGGTCTGATGTTCCCAGAGGAGCCCCCACCCATGGCACAGAGAGAAGGGAGCAGGGCCAGAGCACCAGGATGGCTTGGAAGATGGGAGAAGGGGGCTGGGAGCCAAGGAATGCAGGCAGCCTCTGGGAGCTGGAAAGAGCCAGGGACAGGATTCCCCCTGTGAGCCTCGGGGAGGGATATGGCCCTGCTCACTCCAGGGTTTTAGTCCAGTGAAACTTCTTTTTTGTTTGTTTGTTTGTTTGTTTTGACAGACAGAGTGGATAGTGAGAGAGAGAGACAGAGAGAAAGGTCTTCCTTTGCCGTTGGTTCACCCTCCAATGGCCACCGCGGCCGGCACGCTGCGGCCAGCGCACCACGCTGATCCGATGGCAGGAGCCAGGTGCTTCTCCTGGTCTCCCATGGGGTGCAGGGCCCAAGCACTTGGGCCATCCTCCACTGCCTTCCCGGCCACAGCACAGAGCTGGCCTGGAAGAGGAGCAACCGGGACAGAATCCGGCGCCCCGACTGGGACTAGAACCCGGTGTGCCGGCGCCGCAGGTGGAGGATTAGCCTATTGGAAACTCCTTTTGCACTGTTGCCCTATAGAACTGTAAGATAATAGACTTGTTGCTTTGTAAAGCTACTAATTTGTGGTATTTTTATTGCAAAATCTGGGAAATTGTAAAAATTGTAATTTGGTATAAAACAGTACTTTGGCATAATACAAAACCTAGTCAGACCACCTTTGATCAAAGGACAAACTGTAACCCAACAGAACAGGAACTCGTACTGATATTATTATTATTATTATTTGACAGGCAGAGTTAGACAATGAGAGAGAGAGAGAAAGGTCTTCCTTCTGTTGGTTCACCCCCAAAATGGCCGCTACAGCCGGGGCGCTGCGCCAATCCGAAGGCAGAGCCAGGCGCTTCCTCCTGGTCTCCCATGGGGTGCAGGGCCCAAGCACTTGGGCCATCCTTCACTGCACTCCCGGGCCACAGAAGAGAGCTGGACTGGAAGAGGAGCAACTGAGATAGAACTGGTGCCCCAACTGGGACTAGAACCCAGAGTGCCGGCGCCACAGGCGGAGGATTAGCCTAGTGAGCCGTGGCACCTGCTATGTACTGATATTATTTGGTCTGGTTTATATTCCAGCAGCTTCCTTATGTCTTATAAAACTTTCTAAGCATCATGTTCAGTTTTGTTCTTTTTAAATAATTATTTGTTTAAAAGGCAGAGAGAGGGCTGGCATTGTGGTGTAGCAGGTAAAGCTGTGGTCACTGGTTTGAGACCCGGCCGCTCCATTTCTGATCCAGCTCTCTGCTATGGCCTGGGAAAGCAGAAGTAAATGGCCCAAGTTCTTGGGCCCCTGCACCCATGGGGGAGACCTGGAAGAAGCTCCTGGCTTCAGCCTGACCTAGCCTTGGCCATAGTGGCCATCTGGGGAGTGAACAAGTGGATGTAAGATTTCTCTCTCTCTGTCTCTTTGTCTTTCTGTAACTCTGACTTCCAAAAATAAATAAATAAATCTTAAAAAAATATTTGCCATCTGCAGTTTGTTGAACCCACAGATAAGGAATCCTTGGATGTAGAGGGCTAGCTGTATTCTTGTGCTGGTTTTTGTTTTGTTTTAAGATTTATTTATTTTATTTGAAAAAGAGAGGGATCCTTCCATCCACTGGTTCATTCCCCAAATGGCCGTAATGGTCAGAGCTGGGCCAGGCCAAAGCCAGGAGCCAGGAGGTCTCCCACATGGGTACAGGGGCCCAACCACTTGGGCCAAATTCTGCTGCTTTTCCAGTCCATTAGCAGGGAGGGAGCTAGATTGGAAGTGCACCAGTCAGGACTCAAACCGGTGTCCAAATAGGATGCTGAGGCTTCAGGCCAGGGCTTAACCCATGTTACGCCACAGCGTAAGTCCTTCTCATGCTGTTTTTTTTTTTTTTTTAAAGATTTTATTTATTTATTTGAGAGGTAGAGTTACAGACAGTGAGAGGGAGAGACAGAGAGAAAGGTCTTCCTTCCGTTGGTTCACTCCCCAAATGGCCACAACAGCCGGAGCTGCGGTGATCCAAAGCCAAGAGCCAGGTGCTTCTTCCAGGTCTCCCATGCGGGTACAGGGGCCCAAGAACTTGGGCCATCTTCTACTGCTTTTGCAGGCCATAGCAGAGAACTGGATCGGAAGAGGAGCAGCTGGGACTAGAACCGGCTCCTATATGGGATGCCGGCACCACAGGCAGAGGATTAACCTACTATGCCACGGCGCTGGCCCCATCTCATGCTGCTTTAATTTGTTTGTTTGACTTTGGCAGGGAGGGTTCCAGGAGAAGAAGTGTTATGATGTGGAGCAGCTAGACATGAGGCATGTGACACCATCACAATGTGACTCTGACTTTTATTCTCTCCCCAAAACAAGGCCTAATTTCTTTTTGGTTATGATAAATTAAAATTGATTTTTTTTTTTTTTTACAGGCAGAGTGGACAGTGAGAGAGAGAGAGAGAGAGAAAGCTCTTCCTTTGCCGTTGGTTCACCCTCCAATGGCTGCCGCGGCCGGTGCACCGCGCTGATCTGAAGGCAGGAGCCAGGTGCTTCTCCTGGTCTCCCATGGGGTGCAGGGCCCAAGCACTTGGGCCATCCTCCACTGCACTCCCTGGCCATAGCAGAGAGCTGGCCTGGAAGAGGGGCAACCGGGACAGAATCCAGTGCCCTGACCGGGACTAGAACCCAGTGTGCTGGCGCTGCAAGTTGGAGGATTAGCCTAGTGAGCCGCGGCGCCGGCCTAAAATCGATTTTGTTTTGATAATTTTCGAGAACCTCTGGACATCCTAAAATGCCTGGAAGCACCTGTGTCCTGCCTGGAGCACGCCTTTTCCAGACCACCAGGCTTGCTGCCTCCTTCACCTAGGGGCTCCGATGCCACCTCCCTAGAGAGGCCTCACCATGCCCAGGCCTGAAATAGCAGTGCCTCAGGCCTCAGACCACTCACTACTGCTTCATCCACCACTGCTTGAGGCTACACACCCGCTGATCTCTGAGTTTATCTTCCATATCCTACACAAGAATGTGAACTCCAGGGCCGGCATTGTGGTGCAGTAGGATAAGCACCCCCTAAGGGGGTCAGCTTGAGTCCCTGCTGCTCTGCTTCCAATACAGCTCCCTGCTAGTGCACCTAGGAGAGCAGCAGAAGATGCCCCAGTGCGTGGGCCTCTGCACCCACATAGCAGACCCAGATGGAGCTCCTAGCTCCTGGCTTTGACCTGGCCCAACCTTGGCCATTGCAGCCGTTTGGAGAGTGACCCAGCAGATAGAGGATCTCTCTCTCTCTCTCTCTGTGTCCCTCCCACTCTCTTTGTAACTCTCTCTGTATTTCAAATAAATAAACCTTTAAAAGAGAGGGCGGGAGAGAGAGAGAGAGAGAGAGAGAGAGAGAGAGAGAGAATGTAAAATCCACAGCATTAGGGCCTCTGCCTACTTTTATGATTATTTCCAGAACCTGGGTCTGTGCTGAATAAGGAGAAAAAATATAAGAAAATAAGAAATCAACAGTATAGAACAAAGCAAAGCAGGGCACGGCTACTGACATTCATCACAGACACAAGGTCACCACTGCACTTCACGATTTGTACAATACTTGGGTACGATAATCATCAACCACCTTTGTACCACCGCCACTCCCGCGAGGTATGGAACACAGATTTCTACAGCCCACTGGGGCTACCCTATTTTCAGGTGTGGGAAGGGTTACAGCAAGGACAGCGTTCCCAGGGGATGGAGGAGGGGAGCCAGCGCTCTCACCAGTGCTGCTCCGCCGTCTGCAGCTGGGGCGTCCGGGCCCGGGCGGGAAGGTATCAGACAAGCTCTTTCGCTGGGGAAAGTGAAAAACGGCTCCCCATCGCTCTTCCCCCTTTCTCGGGGGAGGGCTAGAGTTCTTTTCGTTGGATCTTTTTCTGGACGCGAATAACCGTGGACCTGCCACCTCATAAATGCCACCAGGTCTTCTACCGAGGCCATACCCTAAATCGCCTTCTGTCATGTCATCCTCTTCTGCTTCCCGGGCTTGCACCTGCGACTCACTCAGGGACCTCCCCAGCTTGCTCATGGGCCAAAGGCGTCCTTCGCAGAAGGAAAAACAGGTTTCTGTAGGCAAGAAAAACAGCTGTTAAAAAGCCATCAATGCAAGGTGGGCATTTGGCACAGCACCTGCTGTGTAGGCTGAGACTCTCACATCCCGTTTTAGAGTGCCGGCTCCATTTCCGATTCCAGCATCCTGCTGGTGCACACCCTGGGAGGCAGCAAGTGCTGGCTCCAGCACTCGGGCCCCTGCCGCCCATGTGAAAGACCTAGACTGAGACTCCTGGCTCCCAGCTCCAGCCAGGTTCGCCCTTGGCTGTTGCAGGCACTGCGGAGTGAACCAGCGGCTGCAAGATCTCTCTCTCTTTCTCCCTTTGTCACTCTGCTTTTCAAATGAATAAAATAAATAAATCCTAAAAAAAGACTATGAAGTCTCAATGAGATAAGAGGAATAAGGGTTTTTATTTTCTTTTGAGATCTACCAAACAATGTGGAGATTATAGTAGTATAAAGAAATAATAGGGGCTCGTGCTATGGCATGGTGGGTAAAGCCACCGCAGTGCGGGCACCGGTTCGAGACCTGGCTGCTCCACTTCTGATCCAGCTCTCTGCTATGGCCTGGGAAAGCAGTAGAAGATGGCCCAAGTCCTTGGGCCCCTGCACCCGCGTGGGAGACCCAGAAGAAGCTCCTGGCTCCTGGCTCCTGGCTTCAGATTGGTACAGCTCTGGCCGTGGCCGCCAACTGGGGAGTGAACCAGCGGATGGAAGACCTCTCTCTCTCTCTCTCTCTCTCTCTCTGCCTCTCTTTCTCTCTCTGTGTAACTCTGGCTTTCCAATAAATAAATAAATAAATAAATATTTTTTAAAAAATAATAATATATTGTCTATTCTGAAGTTGTTTAGAGTAAATTTCAAAAGTTCTAAGCACAGGCCGGCGCCGCGGCACACTAGGCTAATCCTCCGCCTAGCGGCGCCGGCACACCGGGTTCTAGTCCCGGTCGGGGCGCCGGATTCTGTCCCGGTTGCCCCTCTTCCACGCCAGCCCTCTGCTGTGGCCAGGGAGTGCAGTGGAGGATGGCCCAGGTGCTTGGGCCCTGCACCCCATGGGAGACCAGGAAAAGCACCTGGCTCCTGGCTCCTGCCATCGGATCAGCAAGGTGCGCTGGCCGCGGCGGCCATTGGAGGGTGAACCAACGGCAAAGGAAGAACTTTCTCTCTGTCTCTCTCTCACTGTCCACTCTGCCTGTCAAAAATTAAAAAAAAAAAAGTTCTAAGCACAGAAAATAATTATTTGAAGTGACATATATGTCAATTAGCTTTACTTAAATTCTGTACATTATATGAGTCACAATATCACTTTGTACTCCAAAAATACATACAACTATAACTTACAACTTAAAAGTTTTTAAAACAAAGACAAACAATGGGCAGTATAATAAAGTTGGATTTTTGGGGGCCAGCACTGTGGTATAGCAGGTAAATCCACCATGTGCAGTGCCAGCATCCCCTGTGGGTGCCGGTTCCAGTCCCGGCTGCTCCACTTCCGATCCAGCTCTCTGCTATGGCCTGGGAAAGCAGTAGAAGATGGCCCAAGTCCTTGGGCCCCTGCACCCACGTGGGAGACCCAGAAGAAGCTCCTGGCTTCTGGCTTCGGAGCCATCTGGGGAGAGAACGGATGGAAGACCTCTCTCTCGGCCTCTGGCTCTCTGTAACTCTGACTTTCAAATACACCTTTTTTTTTTTCAAAGGGTTGGGTTTTTCAGGGGATAAAAGTTCCTTCCTGTATCAGGCAGGCATGAGTATGTCAGCAACACACTAACACACAGTGCTCCTGGCGGGGCAGTGGTAAAGCAGCACCCCCTTATTCTAGGGGATACCCCACGAATGCTCCAAAGCACAAGCAGTACCAAGCCCTACGATTTTATGCCTCTTCCACCTTGGGCACTTTTCACCCCGTGGCAGTACGTTTTGCAGGTTGAGGTGCTGCAGCAAAAACAGCAGGGAATTCCTTGTCCCTCTTCACGACTCAGAGGCGGGTCTCAGCGACCTCAGCATACCCTACCTCCTTCCTGATTCGGTCAAGCATGCTCACGTTTTCACCTGAAGGAGGCGCTACAGCTTCTCTTCAGCATATCCGAGTTACCATCCTCGTTACGCATGCCCTGTGGGGCAATTATTAAGTAAAATGAGTCACTTGAACGCAAGCCCTGAGAAACCGTGACTGAGGTGTGGGGAGCGTATGCAATGTGGATATGCTGGACTTAGAGCTGATTCCAGCCCAGGCATAAGATTTCATCACAAGAATAGCGCACAGCTGGAAAACTTGTGAATTGCTTATTTCTAGAACCTTCCATTTAGCATTTCCGGACCACAGTTGACCTTAAGTGGCCAAAACCTTGACAAGCAGGGGGAGTGAGACCACGGAACGTTCTGTGACTTTTTTAGATAAGAAAAGATCAAACCTCGTATTTCAAAGGCTGCAATGAATTGCAGGAAAGCCGGAAAGGCTTTTCCGGGCTCCAGTCATCAGGCTAGTGAGCAGGAGGCCTTGCCAAGGAAAAAGAACACTCTTCATAAACACGCTTACCAAGGAAATGCTTCCAGTCCCACAGGCGTAAGGGCGACACAAAAATGAGCAAAGTCTGAAAAACGAGAGTGCCGGCGCGCAGGACTGCCCTGTGCCGGAGGAGTTTCCCACCCTCTGCCCCTGGCCCTTTACCCACTTGCGGCATCGTCGAGGGCACCTGCAGTCTCGCCCAGAGCCCCGCCTGGCTCATGTTCTATCTGTGCACACACGGAATTAGCAGAGGTAGAGACAGCGAGTGGAAGACATTGGTGCCCCGCGCCCCTGCCTCTCCCTCTCTTGCCTTCTTCATGCTTTGAAGCGTGCCACAGCTGTGTTTTGCAACCCAACCCCAGTGGAAACCAAAGCCCCTCCAGAGGCCAAAGCCCTGCCCCCTTTCCCACGTCACGCTGTAGAGTCAGAATCAAAATGGAGTGATTGTGGCTAAAAGCTAATTGCAGACCTCTGCTTCTGCACATATTCGCTTTGCTTGCTAACGGCCAAGGGTGTATCTTGTGAAACTTCCCAGGAACCAGGCTGACCGAAATGTGTCCTTCACTGTTACCCTACAACCATATCTTGGATCTGTTACTGGGTTTGTTACTGTGAACTCTTATCTTACAGCCACATTCTGGTTTTCCTTTTATTGTTCACTGCGTACCAGCGGTCCGGTTTGAAATTGTGAGCCCTAGTGGACAGAATACTATAAAAAGCTATGCAACCCGCTGTTGGGGGCCACACGCTGGTCAGGAGTGTCGGTCCCGATCAGTGGCCGGTCCGGATCGATTACCTTGCCTCTCGTTTTCAATAAAATTCATGTGTGACTGTCACTGGTTTTTGTAATACTCTATTTTAGCTGCCGAGTGGATGCAACAATGCCCTGAGGTTCTGGGGTGTGCTGGGCTTTCATGTGACACAGCCCATTCCTCACAGTCATAGTGGTCTTTAACTCCGTGTCACCTTCCCCAAGGGCCGCTCCTAAAACCACCCAACGGCAAGCCCTCCTCTCCCTGACCCCCTAGCCTACTCCTCCCTGTCTGTTTTTCAAATTACACCGTGAAAATCGGGGCCAATAAGAAGGGGGAAACAGTTCTTAGAAATGTTGATCTGCACCTGGGAGCCAGGTGAGGCAGGAGGGTCAGCCAGCCTGGCACGCATCTGCATAGAAAAGACGCCCCAGTTTCCTTCCAGCAGAGCCCAAACCCCTCCAGACCCCCCCAGCAGAATGGAAGCCCCCGAGTGTGGCAGCTTTTGTCTGTTTAGCTCACTGCTGTATTCCCAGTGTCTAAAAGAGAGGATATGAGGGGCCCACACTGTGGCGTAGAGGGTTAAGCCACTGCCTGCGCTCATGTGGGCGCCGGGTCAAGTCCCGGCTGCTCCACTTCTGATTCAGTTCTCTGCTATGGACTGGGAAAGCAGCAGAAGATGGCCCAAGTCCTTGGGCCCCTGCACCCCCGTGGGAGACCCTAAAGAAGCTCCTGGCTTCTGGCTTTGGATCAGTGCAGCTCTGACCATTGCAGCCCATTGGGGAGTGAACCAGTGGATGGAAGACCTCTCTCTCTCTCTCTCTGCCTCTCCTTCTCTCTCTGTGGAACTCTTTCAAATAAATAAATAAATCTTTTAAAAAAGAGAGAGGATCTGAGACATCATCAGCCCTCCATAAAGACTTGTTCAACAGGAGCCGGTGTTGAGGCGTAGTGGGTTAAGCCACTGCCTGCAATGCCAGCATCCCGTAGTGGAGCACAAGTTCAAGTCCTAGTTGCTCTGCTTTCAATCCAGCTCCCACTAATGTGCCCAAGAAGGCAGTGGAAGATGACCCAAGTTCTTGGACCTCTGCTACCCACTTGGGAGACCTGGATAAAGCTCCTGGCTCCTGGCTTTGGCTTGACCCAGCCCTGGCTGTTGTGGCCAATTTGGGAGTGAACCTGTGGACAGAAGATCTCTCTCTTTGCCTCTCCTCTTTGTCACTCTGCCTGTCAAATAAATAAATAAACCTTAAAAAAAAAAAAAGACTTGTTTAATAAATGAATAAAGGAAGGAAGGGCAAACAGTTTTGCCTGTAGGACAGAAAAACAAAACGGTCACCCCAGCAAGGCTGCCTGGGACTGCCACCTGCCATTCTTCCCAGAAGAAAGGTCTCCTGGCACACAAGTCCCCGAGGGAGCCTTGGCCGTGTGCAGCCCACTGCAGCCCCCTACTGGTGACACGTGGCAGCTCCTGGAAGGCTCCCTGGGCCTTGTGCCCCCGGCACTGAGTGCAGTCAGAAAGGAGCTTTCGCCACCAGCCATTTCAAAACAGCGGCTCTGCTGTAGCTGTTTGGAAATCTTTCACCCTTTCCACAAGGCTGGCCTGGGGTGTGGTGGAAAATAAACACCCCTGGCATCTTTCTCTAATTCCCCTGCTGTGGACGTGTGCTTCCCAGGACTTCCAAAGAAATGAAACCAGTCTCGCATTTTGGGGGGCTCTCTGTTCCTCTCTCTTATTCTAGCATTGAAACCGTGGA